AAGGTTGATGCTTTCCTCCCGGATGGGAGCCGGCTCTCGGAGAAGATCTTTCAAGCCGAAAGCCATTAGCTGGATCCCTAAAAAGCTAAAGATGACGTCATTCTAATGGAGAGGAAAATAGTGAAGAGAGGAGGATGTCCTCCGGGTCCTTTAGAAAAAATTCCTGCTCCCTAGATCCCCCTCCCCCACCATCGGAATCTGAGTAGTATGAAAAAATGCAAGCCATAATATACATATACTGTATTTATATTTGGTATGCAATCAAAAGTAAATGTTATATATTCCTATATTATTCGCATTATGTAACAACCCTAGCACAGCGCGTTTCTAGAATGAGACGTGAGGAGAGGAGGAGAGTGAGGTGGCAGGCAGCCAAAGCTTCGGGAGAGGAAGGAGTATGCAGGCAGGCGGAGACTAGCGTTCTGCTGAGTCCGTTGCTTGGTAACTGGAGAGGGCGTGGCCTAGAGATCGCTTGGTGCTGGGAGCAGGCCCGCCCAGCATTTTCTTTTGGCTGGTTCAGGGACCAGAGATAGATATAGAAGCAGAGGGCAGTGTGTGTGAGGCTACAGGGACGAGGGAGACAAGAGTTTCTAGGGCCAAGAGCAATAAATAAAAGTGAGCTTCAGTGGGTCAAAGAAGGCCCAGACTTTCCTGAGGGCCGTGTCTAGAAAGGGCCTGTGGCTTTGGTGGTGGGAGCCCAGCATACTGGAGGGTCTGAGTAGTGTCTCCTGGGCTAACAGAGACGTGAAATCTGAGACAGAGAGAGTAGAGGGTTGTGAATGTCAATCCCGTCATTGAGAAATCAGGCAAAGAAACATAAAATGTGCTTTAGGGGAAGTAAGGAGAGGGGGGCATTACCTAAATGAAAATGCTTTTACTACTTTGAGGGGTTTGGCCTCCATAGGCCTGGCTTCAACTCCAACCCTGCTCCAAATGCCACGCTGAAGTCCATCCAGAGTAAGGCTTTTTGGCCAAATCCGTGTCTCATGGAAAACTGAGAGAGCCAGTTTGCTGTCCCATTGCACACTCTTCCTTTGAAGCAAGTCTATGAGAGCCGACTATGCTGTGGCCAGCCAGAACAGAGAGCTGGGCCGGCGCGGGTGGTGCTTTAACTCGACGCTTCTTGCCTTTGCCCCTATCTTTCTGCTGTGTCAGCAAGGCCTGAAGGAGCCAGCACAGCTGGCCCAGAGAAACTCCTTTTCTTTCCAAGTCCCTTTTTTTCCCCTTCAGTACCCTCCCCTCTTCTGGCCCCTCCCCCATTTCCACTCCCCAAACTCCGAGGCGTCATCCCCTGAGGGCAGGAGTTTTAAATCTGAGCCTCTGTGAGTTAGTCTCCAAGCTTTAAGCAAGCAGGTGGAGCCTGCAGCTGCACAGGCCAGGGCCAGGCTGACCCTCCAGCCAGAGGTCACTGAGCCTGTTAGAGCAGAGGACATGGAAGCAAGAATCCCTGCTGACCCTGTCCTGGCCTCTGAATTCAGGGAGGAGGAGAAATATAGAAGGGAGGATTTACCAAAGAAAGTTTTACTTTGTACCTGAACAGTCAATGCCTATGAAACATTCAGGTATTCAATGTAGAGAAAAATTTTAAATTTTGAGAAGGGATTAGGACGCTCCAGAGCCACCACATTCAGAAGCTGGAAGGGGGTTCACAACCAAGTATGATCAAGGGATGCTCCCCCCCAACCAGTGGGAGTGGGGGGAGGGGTACCAGGAGCCTCAAACAGGCAAGTGGGAGGAGTTTTGTTTAGTTATAGTTTGCTCTTTTACCAGTTAGGCAAAAGTAGCAATTCTCAAGGGCTCTCCTTAAATTCCAAACTGGGAAGGCTATTCAAGGCAATAAGATTGGTCACATGTCTGCAGAAACAAATAAGCGAATAACCAAGGAAGCCAATACAGATGTCTGCTCCCCTCCCCCAGCCATGATTTATTTCTATTATGATATCACTTCTTTAGAAAAAAAATCAACAACAACATGAATCCAGATGAGTAACCAGACATTTGTTTGTGAGAAGTGGTCTTTCCTGCCTGGCCACATGCCCTAGCTGCTTGCTAGTATGTCTCCAGAAATTGTCTGGATATTGGTCAAAGAGCATTTAAGCTGCAAGAAACCCATAGCTACCATCATGGCCAAGGTCCTTACTTTATGGATAAGGACACTGGGACCTGAAACAGGAAGCCACTTGCCCAAGACAAGATCTGTGGTGGTCAGGACTTGAACTAGGCTCCTCCCTAGAAGTTGTGATGCTCTGCCCTGCTATCTCTGGCTCATTTGGTCATCATTAGGGCTCTTGCCTATGCCTGGTCTAACCTGCAACCCAGACACACCTTAGGCCAACATTGCTGAATGCTTCCCTCCAATGGTAGGTGTTCTGAAAGTAAAAGAAAAACCCTCCATTTAGGGGTGCTCTATTTTGTGGGCTGGAAAAGCAGTAGAATAACCCAAAAGTAGGGACTCTACCACCTACTTGCTCTCAGGGTTTCTTCTGACCCCTTTTCAGGCCAGTGGTTTGGTCAGAGGAAGTGAGCAAGGAGGGTTTTGAAGGAATGGTATTCAGCATAGTCTCCAGGTCTGCGGGCCAAACCTCATTTCCTGAACACAAGGAGCTCTCCTGATGTGGCAGGCAGGCCCTTGCAGCCCTGTGGCCACCCGTGCTTCTCGTCTCTCTGGAGAACATGGTACCTCAGTGGTCTACTGCCCATGGTAATCTGTCCCCACAGCAGAGGTCTTCCCCGGGGCTGGCAAGCAGGATGATGGGACCTGCTTGCCAGGATGGGGTGACAGAGGTGACTACAGGGTTTCTACGTCAGAAAGAGAAGGAACCTTCTACCACAAAAGCTGATAAAGAAAAACTCACAAGCCAGGTATGCCCAGGCTTCTCACAGGCCTTTGGCTGAGAGGTTACAGCTGGGGGTTCAGGTTAATCTGAGGCTATGCCAAGACCCATCCTCACCTGCCCAGAGGTTGAGGGAGGTTTTCCCTTTGAGGTCGCTGGGGAAGCAGGCAAATAACACTAGTTTTTCTTCCCAGTATGACCTACCAGCTGAGTCTTTAGCTCAACCAAATAGGTTATCTTACACTTTAGTCCTCAACCTAAACTGTCAAATAAATGCCCGCACATGCCACCTCCCGAGCCAAATCCTAAAGCTGTCACTGAAATTGCACCAGAACAGGGCTTAATGTGATATCTCTGCCAGTTTGGGAATTTATATGAGTTGCAGTCATTTGCAGTCTAAATTGCACCCATCAGGGCTGTAACAACTCTATTCCCAACTATAGGTGTGTTTCCTTCCAAAGTCTTTAAAACAGCACATTCAACTGAAATCTAATACAAGCCACAGGCATAATATTTAATTTTCCAATGACCACATTTTTTAAATTTTTTTTCTAGCATCCAAAATTTTTAAAGGTTAAAAAGAAACAGAGGAAATTAATTTCAGTAGTGTATTTTAACAGAGCATACCCAAATATTATCTTCTCAATATGTACCCAAACAATGATAATGAAATTATCAATATTCTTTCATATACTATCTTTAAAGTTCATGGCATCTTCTTATATTTACCATATAAGACCTCAGTTTAGACACTGTTGCAGGGTCAATATATATATATATATATCATATATATATATATATATATGATATATATATCATAAAGTTTTTAGTATGTTGTCCCAAACATACTTGAAACATTTCCGGTGAGCAAGCTGCTTCGAAATTTAAAGTTAAGCTATTTGAAATTAAATGAGCCCTTCTGGCCCTCCTCCCACCTTAGGGTACAGTTGTCTACATTTGTTTTCCTCTTGGAAGTTAGCTCATCATTCTGATTGTTAAAATCCCTGGATTTTACTGACCACAGGGATCTTCCTAAGAGAACTTGGGCCAGGCAGATGCTGCTGTGGGCCAGGCCTCTGTCCAGAATCCCTCCTCCCTTTCTTTGTATGTAAATGCACTCATACAGGGCAATTGAGCTAATTAGCATCCATCTGCAGCTGGAAGGCAGTCAGACTTGGGGAGACTGAAGCGTGTCTTACATTTTGGGGGACAATGCTCAGCCTGTTTCTGGCTCTCCCACAAGACTAGTGTTGCAGCAAAGAGCAGGAAGGAGGCTGCCTATTGGCTGAGAAACAAGACAAGGCAAGGTGGGGGCATTTAGCCTGGCTATTTTTGTCCCTATCCAGCGACTGATCAGTGTCCTGGGCCAGCACTATCTAGTAGAACTTACTGTGATGATGAAAGTGTTCTATCTGCACAGTCCAGCACAGTAGCAGCCAACAAGACGTGGCTGTGGGGTACTGGAAATGTGGAGAGAGAACAATTGAAGCCCTCTGGGGTGTTGTCGTTTTTTGTTTGTTTGTTTGGTTGGTTGGTTGGTTTGGCTTGGTTTAGTGGGTTTTGGGTTTTTGTTGTTGTTGTTGTATTTGTTCATTTAAATAGCCACTCTGGCTCCTGGATAGCACAGTCTCTGCCAAACAGAAGCCTCTCTCACCAGAGGCACCTGTTTCCAGCACTACCTGTCTCTTCACTCCCCTGTGCTTTCTTTCCTGTAGTGAGATGATCCTGCTCTGAGGCAGGAGCATGACTGTGATGGCCTCCCACAGCATTCATTTAGCTATCAGTTGCCCCATTTCCTTTTCAGAAGTGCTTCTAGACCCAAAATCTTTTTGCCTTTGGGGCAGATTCATTTGTGCATTTTAAAAAAAGAGTATTTTTTGAATACCATCCAAAAAGAAAGATGAAGATAAACGACAAAGCTGTGTGTCCCTAAGACCTGGATGTCTTACATTCCAACAGAGAGCTAACATGAGAGTCCCGGGAAACCCAGCAACTCTTTTCACTTCTCATAGGGAGATTCTGGGTATCCCCATCCCATCTTCTGCCTGCAAAGGGAACTGGAGTTTCTCCCTGGGCATAGGTGGCCTGGCAAAGCCCTCAGTTTCTATTGGGCCATGAGCACCCCCATACTTCTCATCCTCTGACGAAACCTTTCAGGAGGAGGGAGATGGGGTGTTTCTCCTCTCTGGATCACCTTCCAGTCACAGATTCAGAAACTCTCTGTCCCACTATCCTCCACTCCTGCACAGCTCTCTCTTGTCCTTCCCCGACCTTCTCAGTGCATGCTGGAGGCACACAAGGAGGGAGGAAGGATTGGTGAGATTCTCACACTAGCAGGCAGGGGAGACACCCAAGTGCCAGATTTTCAAAATTGCATTGTCCCTGCAAATGTGCCCAAGTTGAAGGGGTCCTCGGTCTCCTGCGCCACCTACTGGCCACCTGGAGGTATGGCCCTGCTTGTTTCTAAAAGCCATGGCAGTTCCTGGAAAAATGTTCTTCTGTACCCCATCTCAATCCCTTCAGCAACCTCAGTCCGTTTTCTCATGGTGAAATGACTCAGGGATAGCCAGGGTATTTGTGGCCTTTTTTTAAAATCTAAAAGCCAAACCTTCCAAAAAAAAATCCTGTGTATGATTCGGCCACAAGGCAGCTGTGTGGAGACAGCTGACATTCCAATTCAGAGGCCGCCTTCCAGCCCTTTAATCTTCCTCACTCTTCTCTGGCCCACCTCCAGGTCCCCACTGCCTCTCTGGAGTCTGCAGGTGACCACAAGACCCTGATTAGTATCTTTGATACTGGAGTCTCCCACTGCCTGAGTAATAGGTTTCTAGCTTTAGTGGGGTGAAGCGGCTCCAAAAACTGGGAGGCATATCCAGATTTTAAGCCTGCCCTTCACAAGCAAGAAGCCTGCAAATTAGGGAAGTGTAAGCGCCCCCAGGAGCCCAGACTTAATGAGGCCCAGAGTTTGCAAAAGTCCTTTCAATTCCTTAAGGAAAGAGCTCTTATTGTACTTACCTATCTGCACAGAGCCTCCAGACTAGATACACCTCCTCCGGCATCCTGTCCCCCACATCCTGTCTCCAAGTCCACAGTCAAGAAAATCGGCTTCAGCCCGAGCTATCCTCTTCGAATCCCTACAGTACTAAATTCCACCTTGGGCAGTCAGCCTGGGATTAGGCATCCCAACAGGTTCTGTTTGACACAGTGGAGTTAGACTCTGAGAAGGGGACAGGGCTGAGATCCCCACGATGAACATGACTCGGGGAGAGCCTGCCCCCGGCACTGTCGTGTACTCCAGGCCCCTCATCTTACTTGCCAGTAGTTGTCTCTCTTTCTCTCCTGAGCATGAACACCTAGAGGAAGCCTGACAAGCCCAAGGAGAACATAGACTGGGGATCTTGATGTCATGTGTGCTCTTCTAACTGTCTCCAGGTGCCTCCCTTCACACCAGATCTTCCTTTGGGCTGGGAGCTTGGAGCCATCCAACAGTGCCTTCTCCAGAACTCCTCTTCCCTTACAAATTTCCCCTCATCCTAACTTCCTTGAATTCTTTCCCCTTCTCTTTCCTATCTGAGATACCTAGCTGACACCATTTCTGGGTATCTGAGAGATGGCGGGTTTTCCTTCACCCTATTTTATTATTGTGTGCTATCCCAAAGCCCTTTATTTCCCCTTTTTTGAGTATTTGAATAGCAAAGATGATAGAGTCTGGGCCCCCAAACCTTCCTGACACTATGTCTGGTCTTGTGGTGGGTCATCCTAGACACACCACATGGGGACAGTGATCTAAGGTCTCCCCACTCGTTATCTATTGAGGTTGCAAGGTCAGGGAGCCCATCCTCGGTGGGCACCAGTGAGAACAGAGCTTTCTGGAAATGTGTAGTGCGATGGCCTAGGCAGGTGGCACTAACAGACTAACAACACATGAACAAAGTCCTACTTCTTTTTCCTAAAGGTCATAAGTCAGCTAAGTATAGACTCTGTCACCAAGTTGCTCCTATATATAACTGATGTGGCCCCAGCCAGCTGTCAGCCCCTCTCAGAGTAAGCTGACTAATGTCCAGCCTCCCGGGACCCAGAGCATGGCGCAGAGCCAGCTAGGAGCTAGTGAGGAGGGATGAGGCCTCTGGGTTCCATCTACTTTGTACTTCTCCAGAGCCCACATCTCTGCCTCTCCTATCTCCAAGTCCTCAGCATAGTCTCCACCCTCTGCTGCTCCTGTCGCTAGATACCCAAGTCCAAACATCTCTCACCACTCGGCCCGGCTGTTCAGAAAGTACAAAGGCTTCCAAGAGGGCTGTTCTTGTCCATGTCTGGGCTGTGCCCTGTTTTCTTCCCTTGGCCCAGATTTCCGGGTCCTGACAGCCCAACCTTCTGTCTCCAGCCACTTCCTCATCTCCTGGGCCACGCTATTGGCCAGAGAACATTTTCCATAACCTCCACCTGCTTTGGGCTTTGCCCTGCCTCCTTCCGTCTCTACCCTGCCTTCGCTCGCGCACTAATGAGACTTGGTCAAGAATCCTCTGATGACGTCTCTCCTGCTTCTTGCTTTCTTAGACCTCGCATCTCTCTGAGCCCCTGTGACTGCCCTGACCCCCAAACCTGCTCTCTGGCCCCAGAAGCTGATTCTTTGACTCCATCTTCCTGCAGAGAGAGATTCTCGCGAGCATGAGGAACCTACCACCTCTGAGATGGCTGAAGAGACCTACTCCCCCAAGGTCTTCCGGCCCAAGCACGTTCGCATTTCCGAGCTGAAGGCAGAGGCCGTGAAGAAAAACCAGAGAAAGAAGCTGACCCAGTCTAAGTTTGTAGGGGGCGCAGAGAACACTGCCCACCCCAGAGTCATCCCTGCGCCTGAGATGAGACACGAATCTGAGCAAGTGAGTCTTAGGAATTCTCTCCTCCCCATCCCCGCCACCGCCACCTTACTTGAGAGCTTCTATGCCCGCAGAGGATGTATAGGCTAGACCAATCAAAGGGCCCAGTGTGGTCATGGTGGCCCAGCTGAGGATTTGGATGGGTGTTTTTGAGAACATGAGTTTATTTATCAGGACTGAGGGCTGATCCAAGCAAGTGGAAACAGGAATAGTTCTTCAAAGAAAGTACCTATATTAACAGTGAGCACATATGATGTATGCGACCCCTAGAGCTATGGCCAGTCCCAAGAAGAGGCTGAACACTATCCTAGCACATCTGGAGAATGCATCCTGTATCTTCATTGCTTGGAAGGGTAGAAAAGTTGAGGGTCAGTGACCCGATTAATGAGAAAGCAGGTCTTGATGCCTGCTACAAACAGGCTTACTGTACAACAAAGGCACCAGGCAGGTGAGGGAGAAATAACTTCAATAGCTTCTGATAGAGGTGACAGATTTTCTCCCAGAGTCCCTTTGGGTGCCACCCATGAGCCACAGGATTGCACATCTGAATGGTTTCCAGTTGGGTCACGCCAGGTCTCTCATCCCTCCCATTCGCAGGGCCCCTGCCGCAGACACATGGAAGCTTCCCTGCAGGAACTCAAAGCCAGCCCACGCATGGTGCCCCGTGCTGTGTACCTGCCCAATTGTGACCGCAAAGGATTCTACAAGAGAAAGCAGGTACGTGCCTCTGTACCAGGCTCACGGGCCCCATTGCTTCTGATTGGCAGGTCTGGAGTGGACTCCAGGGACCTTACCTTTCTTTCTTTCTTTCTTTCTTTCTTTCTTTCTTTTTTTCTTTTCTTTGTTTTTTTTGTTGTTGTTGTTGTTTTTGTTTGTTTGTTTGTTTTTCGAGACAGGGTTTCTCTGTGGCTTTGGAGGCTGTCCTGGAACTAGCTCTTGTAGACCAGGCTGGTCTCGAACTCAGAGAGATCCGCCTGCCGCTGCCTCCCCAATGCTGGGATTAAAGGCATGCGCCACCAATGCCCGGCGGGAACTTACATTTCTAACAGGACAACCTACAGGGGACCCCTAATCTAAGTTACAAACTAGATTCCCTTGGGGCATATCTTGACCCTGTCACTTCTAGCCTGTGACCCCAGTTATTTAAAGCCCCTGGGCCTGTAGTTTCTCATGTAAAATGGTGACTAGCAGTCCCCATCCCCCTGATGGGGAGAAGTAAGTACTACATCTTGGCAAAGCACTTGGAACAACTCCTGCCATATAACCCATCTTAAGCGGTGTCTGGCACATGAGTCACAGAGCAATGTCTCCTATTTGGGTGGCTAGAGTCCTCTCTTGATGATCCCTGGAGAAAGTGAGGTTGGGAATCCCAAAGTGAGTAACAAGCAAGACCTACTCCAGGGTAGGATGCCTGAACTAACAGTTTTCTCTGGGTTCTCCGGTGAGACGGAGATCCCCAAATCCCCAAGAGTTAGCTGAGGTTGTACCCCTTTCAATTCTCAAGTCTAGGGAAAAAGTAGGACAAGAAGAGGGCCTCAGGGTACAGCTGTCTCACTGCCTGTCGCCTCTTCCCCCCAGTGCAAGCCTTCCCGTGGCCGCAAACGTGGCATCTGCTGGTGTGTGGACAAGTACGGGATGAAGCTGCCAGGCATGGAGTACGTCGATGGGGACTTTCAGTGCCACACCTTCGACAGCAGCAACGTTGAGTGATGTGTCCCTCCCGTCCTCCCCCTTTCCTACCCCCAGCCCCAAGTCCAGCCAGCGCCTCCCTCCACCCTAGGACACCGCCCATTTCATCTCATTTAGGGGAAATATATATACATATATATTTGAGGAAACGGAGGACCTCGGAATCTCTAGCAAGGGCTAAGGAGACACTCCCCACCCCAACCCCGAAAATGTATTTCTTTTTGAAGCAAGTTGAATGGACAGAGAAGGGACAACAAGGAAGAGCAATGGGGATCGAGAGATGGCAAGAAAGCATTGGTGTAGACCAGAGGGAGTGACAGACAGGGTTACAGAGAGAGAAAGAGAAACAGCAAGACAGGAAGGACACTACAACCAGGGCAGGATCTGTCCTTCACTTCCAACCCTAGTCAGAGGTCAGAGAGGTGTTGGAATACTCAAAAGTGTGGCATTCGGTGATTCCCAGCTTAGACTGGTCATGGGGAGAAAAGAAGCAACAAAATGTATCAGTGCCTCTCTCTCTCAGGTCTGTGGCTTCCTTCAGCCAGCTGTGTGGATGGCAAGACCCCTGTCCCTCCTCTCCTCTAACCAGTGCAGGGTGGTTTCATCCCCAAATCTACAAACACTAAAATGCATTCCATCCCTCTGAGAACAAAGGAAACTGAGTGATTGCCAATAGGCTTTTCCCCAAATGGATGAGTGAACTCAATATGTGTACAGATTTTACTCTTGATGGAGATTTTTTTTTTTAGAAGTCAGTGCCTGCCCCCAACACTGGAAAGACTTGACTTTCCAGGGTGACAGCAAGCATTCAGAAGCTGTGGCTTCAGCCCTTGACTTCACTAGACTCAAAGCTGGCCCAACAGCCTCTGTGGAGAAGGAGGATAGGCAGAGAAAGCAACGGGGCGCGTGTACTTAACTACAAGGCTCCATGTAGACATATATAAGCGTATAAATCTATTTTCTTTATTTTTCCCCTCTTCTTTTCTTTCAAAGTGTTGCATTACCTCTTCAAAGTAGTTCCCTTAGGGCACTGAAGAGCCTCCTCATTCTGGGAAGATCCATATTCAACTAATACAAGCCAGAACACTAGCTTTGCCTGCTCCTGGGCAGCCTTCCCCATGAGCTTCACATTTGGCTCTTTTGTAGGACACAGTGTCAGATCTTCTCATGATTCCCAAACTGTGTTTAAATATATCCATCAAGCCAGGTAGCTGCCAGCACCAGTCGTGCGACACCTCTGCAGCCTGGGCCATGCCATGTCACCCTTGCATGTCACCCTCAGGAAGTAACTGTCTTACACCATGATACATAAGACCACCAGATGCATCTTTAACCCACTGGCCTGCCCAGGCCTTTCCTTCTGTCTCTTCAGAAATGCATTTTGAAAGCTTCCCACAGATGCCAGGCTGACAGATCAGAGAGAAACTGACATGAGAGATGGCGGAGGATGAGGCAGTGGGGTGGGGGCGGGGCTTCCACAGAGAGACCTAGAAGATGGAGCCAGGACTAGGGGCTGGGGGAACAGAAAAGTGACAGAAAGAGGGAAATACCAGTAGAATTTCCCTTGGCTTCTCCCACCTAATAAACCTTCTGGAATTTGAGAGGAAAGTGGAGGCGGGGTGGGGCGGGGTGTCTGAGTTAGAAACAAGCTCAGGTCACAGAGCCCAGATGGTAGGGAGTTGAGGCAGGATCTAGACTTGAGACAGTGGCTGGAAAAGAGGATCGATAGCCTGACTGAGTATTGAAGGGACAAGAGGATGTGCCTCAGACACCACAACTTCAGTTCAACTTCAGCCCACAAGAAGGGACTGAGGCCAAAGAATATTTCAAGGTCTTCATCCACTCTGCCCCATGCGTACATCCTCTCTGACGCGGAGGATGGCGTAAAGCCCAGGACGACTCAGGCATAGATCTTCATGGCTGTTGTCATTTGCCAGCCAGATTTTGATCCAAGAAAAAATGTCATTGTCCACTGGCTTCTTCAACAAAGGGTTTGCTTAGGACTGTCCTTGAAGACTGAAGACAGCCTGCCAGGAAGAGCGACTAGGACACAAGAGGCCCCTTTTTTGCTGTGGGCACATCTCTTTGCTCTTTCTTGATGGCATGGCATAGTAGAGGCCCCCTCCAATGCTGAACAACAAAAAGGGACAGCAAAGAAATAAACATATGTCCACTCATGAGAAATAGATGGCTATGGAGCTTAGGGGATGTCTCCTGTTGCCTGGACAAGACAGTTGGCTGGGAATGGAAGAGGTAGTTGGTCTTCACAAGACAAAGGGCCTGATGGGAATGGCAACATAAGGACTTACCAGGCCTGCAGGATCAGTGCACCCATCTCCCTGCACAATGTCCCCAGCCCCCAACTCACACTTCAGTATGTCTTAGGCCAGTATCCTAACCCTTCTCCATAATGTTCTCCTTTCTGCCATTATTTCTCTGGATCTTGAGCAGTCATGTGACTGGGATTTGCCAAGTGGATACTGGGGTACCACTGCCCCTAAGAAAAGACTGAGCCAAGAACTGCCTACTAACCTACCCGCCCCTCAGGCCTGGACCTGACTCCTGGGGACGGGTGTTCTCTTCACCCCACTACTTGCTGGACCTTGAATGAGCCTCTGCCCCTTACCTGGACCCTTTGTTGTGAGCCACAGATGGAGGACATTGTATAGACACTTTGGCCTTCCCCAGTTCAGCCTACACCCTCCAAACTTGTGAGTCTCTCCACTGCTTTTAGGAAGAGGCATGTCTAGGCAGCTACTCTCTCCCTAGAGGAAGCTTGCCTTTAATAGACAGATGGAACTAAACCTTCTGAATGGGAGGTCTGGCTGAACCCAGGATAGAGAGACCAAGAAAATGGGGTCACTGAGAGAAGAGGGCTTCTCCATGTCACAGGGAGGGAAGGCAGGCTTGCAATGGTCCCACAATGCCCTGAGCAAGAAGCTCTTTGGCTCCGTTAGAGACCTCTAATTCAAGACTCTCCACAGCCATAGGTCTAAGTGTTGCTTGTCCCCATCCCCACTCTTCCTTGGAAGGCTTCTTCCCATCTCTTTTGACAAATGCCTCACTCAAGCAGAAGAAAAAATATGCTCTCTTCCCCCACTACTGCCAGGTTAGCTGAAAGAGGCCTAGCCAGGACCTATTCTCCACCCCAGACAATCTTGACCATCCAGAACAAAGCAGGGAACCTGGGGAAGAGAAGACTGTGTGTTTCTCTGACGGCCAGGCCTAGACAGACAAGGCTTGGGAACATCTGCCCCACAGGAGGCGAGGAGACCTTCTGTGGTCACTCCTCTTCTCCCTCCAAGACCCTCTTCCTACCACCATCTATCTTCATGGTAACTTCCTCACTGCCAACCTCCTTAGAAGATCAGGTTGCCATGGCAACCTCCAAACCCCCTGCCCCTTCCAGGCAGGGTAGCAGTCCTTTGGCTCACTTAGACTCCTGGAGGGCTTTGGTGGATAACCTCAACTTGAGAGAGGAGTGAGCCAAGAAGAGACCCTTTAGCCTTCTGGCATTCAAGAGAAAGGAGGCTACAATTTGAAAGATGGTAGGAAAAGGGAACAAGGATTTTATCAACCAGGAGCCTGGGGGTTGTACTATCTTTATTTTAAAACCACTAAAGTGCAAGGATTCTTGCACCATTGTTACTCGGCTTTCTTTTCCCTTTTAGGTTCTTGTTTCTTTAAACATACTTTTTTTGGTTTTCCAATGGAGTATAGACTTTAGCCATTTCACAGACTCTGGCCTCCTCGTTTAAATCTTTCTGAATGGGGAAAAGAAAGGTGGAGGGTCAGAGGGGAAGGGGTCCTTAGCCATCCTGCATCCATTTACCCCACTTCTCTGGTCCCTAGTCGCCAGCCTTGTCCCCATCTCCAACACCATCACCATCACACAGTAGCCTGTCACCGGATAGCACAGTTCAGACAAGACTCCTTCAGATTCCGAGATGTCTACCGGTTGTTTTTGGTTTTTATTTTTTTGTTTTGTTTTCAGTTTGTTTTTTTTCAGCAGCAATAACCACAGCACATATTACTGTAGGTCTTTGTAATAACACAGCACTGTAGGTCTTTGTAGTGTTCCGTTCAGACACCATAGCTCTGATTTCTCTTCTTTTTTTGTTTTCAACTTTTAAAGAAAAATGCTTATACTTTATACTGGTGAAATGGATGAAAAAATAAAGATAAAACAGCAAACCAGTTTGTGAAAAACAAAACGCGGGAAAAGAAGTCACCCCAATGTGGAAGAGCTCGGCTCCTGTTTAGCATATTGTACTTAAGGAAATAAAAAAACGAAAAACCCAGAAGATCTCACATTTTATTGCAAAGTGGAGATTTCTGTATTCTATTTATTCAACCTATAATTTATGTTACTCCTTGATCTTTGTCTCTTGTCATGACAAAGCATTTATTTAATAAAGTTATGCATTCAGTTAGCTTGCATCACCTTCCTCCTGGGGCAGGGGGCTCTGTGAGCACCCAGGCTGCCAACAGGAGGGGAAGGAGAAAGGATCTGGACCTGTGTGTCCTCCAGGAGGTCCCTGAGTGGAGGAAGGCCAGTCCTCACAGACAGCGCCCATCCTAAATTGCCACTTGCTTGAACTCTGTATCCATACCATAGGTTATCCTACAGAGCTGCTGAGAGACTCCAGGAAGCCAAATTACATACATAAAGCACACAGAACGGTGAGCACACATGTGTTCTAAGGTTATTGCTTTAATTTAATCTTCACCACTGTCAGTAAACACAGTAGTCTCATCCACCCCTAGACAAAGCCTCTCCTCCATGGAGAAGATGCTAACAAAGACATTCCTAGAATATTCCTCAGTCACTTTCTTCCAGTCTTTTACAAGCACATAGAAACCTCTGGCCTGGGTGAATCGATTATCAGCTCCTCCCAGGCACCCTAGCTCAGTTAACCCCAGGGGAAAAGCAAAGCTGTGAATCTACTGTTCAGGTTTAACCACGCCCTCTGCCTTCTGCTTTGGTTTCCCTCTGGGTTTTCTTTAGGTTTTTTTCAGCCCTTGGGCTCTTTGCTCAGTTCTCCATGGCCCACGTTCAATCTCAAAGGTATCAGAGCAGAACACTGCCCCCTACACATACCATTGACCACACATACTACAGGCCGCGACAGCTGGAGAAATGACAGTGGTAGGCTGGCTGTCCCTTCTGTCCCAATTCAATGACGAGGCTCTCAGGAGCCCTAGTGTGTCCCCACCCCTCCACCCCTCTTACCCCCCCCTCTTGCAGTCACATGGTGAGATCTTGTTTCTCACTGTACACATGTTCTTTTCGGGCCATGCAAAGTCTCCCTGGGGCTTCTTGGCCCTCCACGTCAAGAGCCAGAGACCCCAAAAAATGAGTTGTGAAAGGTGCAAGCAGCGCTGCAAGGAGAGAATGAATACTGGGAAGGGGGTATGAGCACAGGACACTGTGGGTGACTTGCCGTGTCACCTGGGACAGGCTTCTGGCTTCTCCATCAAAAACTGCTCACCCTACTATTGCCTATGCAATGTCTGAGGGGATCTGGAGCCAGGATTTTCCACCCAGCTGTTCCTCCTTGAGGCTCATCTCCCTGGGGCCTCATGACCCTAACCCACTCCACATGCCTCCTGTCCCCCGGGGCCTTATCTGACCCTAATAACCCTTGTCTTCTAACTCCCCACTCACAGCCTGCAGCCATTCAGCAATCTACTTCTTGGGTATTCTGCACAATTCACGATCAGGAGGCACAATCCACATGGCCCATTTATGCAACTCACCTGGGCACTTACAGTCTTGGCCAGTGCCTGGGATCCACTGTCTCCCATACTCACCCATGGTGAAGAGCAGCAGGACCGAGACCACACGGTTCTGCTGCCCTATTCATCTTCGGTCCACTTAAGCCACACTCTGAGTCTTGGAACTTCTTTGTCTCCAATGATGTCATCACATCCACCAAGATACCCATGCCAGACCCCCAAGTATCCCCAGTCAGAACTCCTCACTTAGCTCCCCATCTAATGATTCCACCAATCAGCTGCTCCCTGCTCCTTCTGAACTCAGTGACTCTCACCATCTTCCCTAGTCCTGGTTTGGGTTATGTTCAATTCTGCCTATCGAACCCAACTCCACCCATCCTCTCCTTGTCTCATTCTCTTGGATGGCCTTCTCAGCCACAGTTCACATTCGAAACACATATCTAGTCTTGCCCATCCTTGGCCTTAATTATCTCCCAGATTCCAGGCCAAAGTTCAAATCCCTCAGCAAGATACCCAAATTCCTCCTGATAGGTTCCCTCAGCGAGATACCCAAATCCCTCCTGATGATAGGGTCCCCCACAAGCTCCTTCTTCAGCTTCCCCTCTGCCTGCACCCTGTGAATGCAGATGCCACACAGGTCCTCAGCCATGTTCAGGCTTCCGAGTTAAAGCACAGCTTAGGGTTGAAGGCCTTTCATGTGTTGTTCCCTCTCTCTAAACCCCACCCCTTAGAAGACACAGCATGCACTTGCACACACACACACACACACACACACACACACACACATTTTTTCTCTATCTCTTCATTACAGCTCCCCTTAACAGTCCAAGATGCCTTTCGTGACAGCGCGCATGGTTGTTCCTCATTGCACCACAGTACCAGCTTCTGGAGGGCACACCCCTGTCACATCGTGCCATAAATGGTCAATCATTGCTCCTGGGCTGTTGCCAACACCGGGATGTAAACACTCCAGGACAAAGAACACCATCTCTTTCAGCTCCACTGCATCTCAATGCTCAGGAGACAGCAATAACTACATTTACCCAACACTTACTTTATGACAGAAATGGTTTTCTATTCTGCAAGCTGTTCTTTGAGACAGGCATTATCCCAGTACTTAAAGATGAGGTTTTTAAATGGCATATAGAAGTTAGAAATATGCACAAAGTCACACACACATAATCAGAACAAAACAAATTCTTCCCCACAGCAGCCCGTGTTCCTAACTAGCACATTGTAGGTGGTTAATACAGAATATACCTAGCAAATGCAGAAGCTCCATCAGGGTGTCTGCATGTCCAGAGGGCACAGAGAAGGGCCAGCCTTGTGGATGTGTACCTGTGACATCACCCAGAGCACGAAGCTTTGGAGCACTGCTTTCCTAAGACTGTCTTAAAGTTCTTAGTAATGTTGGAACAAGGGGCCTCATATAGTCATTTGTCTCAGGCCCTGCAATCTAAGTCACCAGTCTTCCAGTAGAAGTTACACACGAGGTGTACAAAAAGATTCTCAGGGCCTATCCACAGCTCCTAATTCAGGAAGTTTGTGGGAGGGCTCAAGAATCCATCCTGTGAACTCCTTTCAGAAAGTTTAAAGTGAGCCTAGTTGCAGTTCCCTGTGATGCCACATGGGGACAGTATTGCCTCAGTGTTTACCACTGGCCAGGCTAAAACGTGGAAGGATCAGGCCTCTAGTGAGAGATCAGGGGACACATTCAAAAGCCACACCCAAGCAGCCCTCTCTTTCTATAGGGAGCTAGCAATGGGCAGAGCAGGTTGTGGCAACACCAAGAATCTTCCACAAAATGTTCTGGAAAGAACCTAAGCAAGGTGGCTTTCTGAGGGACTGTGAGTAGAAGGGTGACCCCAGAAACATCCCAGAATCCCTCTCACCTGGTAGAGTACTTGACAGAAGTCTCACCAGGATATGGCCTTGTTCCTTCCTTGAAGCTTAGAGCTTCTTCACTAGGTCAAGGGTAAAAGCATACCCAAGGTTGACCAGCAACCTTGATCCTCAGGAAAATGAAAACTAGTAACTGTGCTTTTTATGCATGAACTCATGAGGATTGGTTTATTCTGGGCAGTTCTACACCGAAGTAGCTCTTTCTCCTGGCAGGGGTCAGCTTTGGAATCTAGTTTCCTGGCACCTGTGGAAGGTCCCAGGAGTCCCTGACATCTCCAGATGTGCCCGGGAAGTCAGTTGAGAGAAAGGCTTCACAAAGCCATTAGAGAGGCCCTTCCATGGCCAGATGCAGACTGGAAGTGGAGCTCAGCCTTGCACTGAGGAGGAAGATGGCTTGCCTTCCCTAGGACCCCACTGCCAAAGGGTTATGGAGAGTTCCTGGACCTGACTGGGGTTTCAGGTGCAAACAGAACAAAGTGTGGGAAGCCCTGACACAGAACATTGCTTTAAAAATCAGTTTCCCAAAGAAGAGGAAGGATGCAGAGGTCACGAGGGAGCAGAAAGGTTGAGTCAGGTGTAGATTAGAAGAAAGGATATGTGATAGGTAGGGTTTTAGTTGGGGCGGGGAGGAAGGGAGAAGGAAACTGAGATTGTCATGTAATTCAATCTTGTTTGTAATTCAAATAAAAATGATAAAAAAATAAATAAAATTCTTAAAAAAAATAGTTTCCCCCACCCTATACTCTGTGACTCAGTTTCCAGTCTCTCAGCTCAAGTTCTTTTCTTTTTTGAGACAGGGTTTCTCTGTGTAACCCTGGGTGTCCTGGAACTCACTCTGTAGACCAGGCTGGCTTCTAACTCAGAAATGCACCTGAGGCGAGTGCCAGTCATCACCACCACACCCACCATCCCTAGCCTGGTTCTTTATCCATATATATCTCTTTGTGCTTGACTTGCTAATCTACAGCCAGCTTTTCAGGGCCCTCCAGGAGCAGCTTCTGAGAACTCAGAGGTGACCTTTCTGAACAAGCCCAGCAACCACAGGGTCATCAGCGTTTCCTAGGCCAGGAGCCCATGTGAAACAGTTCTTGTCCTGGGCTGAAAACAACTTCAGGGGTAAGAGATTCCCAATCCCAGTGTTTCCCATGCCCCATCTCCCACCACAATGTCATCTGAAGGATTCTCTTGTTTTATTTTTGTTTTTGTCTTTTTTGGAGGGGGGTGGATTGGTTTTGCTTTGTCTGGGTGTTTGCATGCCGTATGCCCAGGCTAGGCTTGACTCTCAATCATACTGTCTAAGCCTCCCGAATGCTAGGTTTGCAGACCATGCGTCCAGTGTCTTCTGGGTGTTGAAAAGAGGAAGACAGGCCTATCTACGTTCTCCCTCATCACCCGCCCTCCTCGAAAGAGTCAGCTAGAGAGGTCCAAGAGGTTGGAACCCTTCCCTGGTTCGAAACAGCACAATCCTGGGTCCCACCACAGACCTGGATATGGGTACAAAAGCATTTTCCTGCCCCTGTGTATGGTGACTTCCCTGTGTTAGAGGCAAGTCAGACAGGAGGCTCAGTCAGCCTCCCAGGGATGCCCCAAGACACACACGCAAGACACACAGTTTATTTTTCCTTCCTTTAATCTTAAGTAAAAGAGACACAGGGGTTCAAAAATAAAAATTTCTTTCCCCATTCCCAAGCATGTACCCAGCACCCCCAGTGCCATCCTTCCCCTCCCTAATAGAAGTAGGAATGGAGGTACAGGTTATCTGCAGCTGGGAAGGGGGCAGGGGCTTCTGAGCTCAGTGTCGGTCTCTTTCCAAATATAAATACATGTGTCAAAACCTGGAAATCCTCCACACCCATCACCCAAGCACCCTCCATTTCTGCCGGTGTTTGGAGTGGGGGAGCCAGGCACAGAATGGCTATGCTTTACTGCACCCTCTGAGCATGAGCCCCACCAGTCTCCTGCTGCTCATTGTAGAAGAGATGGCACTCTGGGTCTCCCCGAATGGTGGGGGCTCCCTGGATCAGCTTCCCGGTATTAGGGTTCACACACCAGCATTCCCCACGTTGTCCATTCAGAGACATCTTGCACTGAGAGGTAAGAAGAGGAAAATATGAAGATTTCCCCCCAAAGCCACCTACTCTTTCCCTTCACTCAATCCAGAGCTGACCAATTCCCAGGTGCACAGGGATCTTTCCCTGCCGTAAGCGAACACTGGGAAGCTTGTCAAAATGCAGATTCCTGTACAGGTGGCCCTAAAATGCTTCATGCTCAACAAGCTGAAAAAGGGTGCTGATGCTGTAGGCCCAGGGACTGTGCCCATCACCGGGGGTGTTGGAGACACTAAGACTAAGAAATGACTCAGCTCCAGTGGGAGACCCAGAATAGAGTGTAGCCACGGTGTAAGATTGAAAATCCTCACATCACGATGGAGTGTGTGCCAGGCACTATGTGAGCAAGACAGCCCACCCACTGACACCCAGTCACATCCATAGTCTAGTGACATCCATAGTAACTATTCCTCACCACCGCTCTGTGTATTAGGCACCATTAGGTTCCCACTTTACAACTGTGAAACTGATGCAAAGATTGGTTAAGGCTGTCAAGGCTCCTAGGGAGAGAGCTGAGATCTGAACTTGGGTTGTTCCCATCCAGGGTCCTTTATCTTATCACACAAGCTCAGTAATCACTGTTCTAAATGGGTTTAGTGGTTCATGGGGTACAGAACATCCGTGGCTCATTGGAAGTGTTCATTATTTCTTCCAAGTTCCAGCTGAAGCAATTAGCTTACACTTGGAGGGAAAGGCACACAAACAGCTGGCACCATGGGGGGTGGGGGTAGATGCCTACATGATGACGGATCTGAGGAAGCAAAGCCCAAAAGAATAGCAGGGTCTTGTATCTCAGCCCCTGGGGCTCCACACATCCACTCCTTAAAGTGAAGCCTGACTGGCCATTAGGACGACCAGAGAGTTCTGTAAAATACCCCACACCTGAAAAATCCAACTCTCACATTAAACCCTGGCATCTAAATTTTTTAAAGCTACCCAAACAATCCCACATGCACTCAGGTCTAAAGAGATCTGCTTATGAACAGGGTGATGGTCCAGTCCCCACTCCCCGCTCCACACCACCACTCCTGCCAACCACATTCCCTGCTCCACCCTTTCCCCTCCCTCTTACAGGAAATGCATGGGCTCTTCTTCCCCTATAAGAGGTTGTGAGGAGGAGGAGGAGGTGAGGGGTGGTCCACCTAAAAGGACTTGTACATACGGAGAAGCAGGAGGGCAAAGGCTCCTGGGAGTTTACTTAAACATCCTCAACTCTTGCTAATGTACCAACTACTACGTTTAGAACTAGATTTTCAGTACCTAACCCTCAATTTTCCATCTCTTGAGATACCTGGGAACCAGAGAGGCTACTTGGCCAATGGCTAAATTGGTGATTTCAAAAATACAGTTCATGGACCATTAGTGACACATGGCAGCTTCTTAGAAATGCAGACTGAAGATTCCTACCCAACCTATTAAGTGACAAACTCTGGAGGAGGGCCCAGGGGTCAGCTCTCAGGGAGCGGGGGACGGGGGAGTGGGGAATGGGGGAGCTGAAGTGCCAGGGCTTAAACCTCTTCCCTCACTTCTCCAGGGCACTCCTTCCCAACAGACACCAAGAGCAGATAGAAGACAGCTGAGGGAGTGGAGTCGGCCCTGACCTGCCTGAGGCCAAGGAGGGAAGGCACCTAGAGCTGATGTGTCATCCTTTTGGTTACAGAAGCCTGCTAGCTCAGCTCTCGGCTTCCAAGATCACACACAGGTGCAGTGCTCACACACAGGTGCAGTGTGGAGAAAGCACAGCAGGGCTCAGGGCTGAAGAAGGGCCTCCCTAGCCCAGGCTGGCACCCACACTCACCTGTTTAAGGTTGTACAGGCCATGCTTGTCACAGTTGGGGATATGCAAGGAGTAGAGGTGCTCCAGGGGACCCCGATCGTCCGGAAGGCGCATGGTGGAGATGCGTTCCAGAACTTGGTCCAATTCCTGCTGGCAAGGGGTCTAAAGGCAAAATGGACACCTGGGGTGAGAAGAATGAACCCACAAAACACTAGTACTAGACACACTAGTCTCATAAGGTCTCATAAACTCTCTCAACACCAAATGGCTAGTAGGGCAGCATCTGTGGCAACCAACCCCATGGTGCCATCCTATCCTTCTAGAAAGTCACATGGCTGCGGATTTTCACTGTGCTCTTGGAACTCTTGACTACAGCTTTAATGAGTAAGTCAAAATGGGTTCTCCTTGGAAGATTAGAATGTATATCTGAAGCCATGACCCAATCCAATTAAGACATTGTCCCTAGAAAATTTATACCCCGACCCAATTCAAATGCTGTCCCTGAAGCCACTACCCTAACCAATGGCCCAAGCTCTGTTCCCTAACATCACCCAACCAGGGTCAGTTGCCCAGAAAGTAAAGATGAACTGGGAAGAAGCTCATTGCAACCCAAGGGAGAAGACTTTGTTTGCACCTCTGGATTTTTCTCTGCTAATGTACCAAAGCTAATGTTCTCTGCTAGTGTCCCAAAGTCAAACAGATACATGAAGGTTTTTAAAAAGAGATTCCAAGAAACCATGTCCAATCCATTTTAGAGAAAGAAGTGCCATGTGGCTCACGGGTCATCAACTACGTCAATGGTATTGTTAGTTTTTTGTTTGTTTGTTCATTTGCGGAGGAGTGTGTGAGACACGGTGTGACACCCTTCCCAAGTGTGAGGCTCCCTTCCCACACCCTCCTCCTCCACCAGACCCCATTCCTCCACTGACCCTGGCAGGAGGTGGCCGCAGCTTCTTGGGCTCCTCCAGGCTGAGGTGGTGTTTGCCGCCTTTGCCCATCTGCCGGTGCTGTTCGCTGACCTTCTCCCGGAACACAGCCAGCTCCTTCATGCCTGACTTGAGGGGCTTCCGGCCGGCACTGCTTCCACCTCCCAACATGTTCATGGTGCCATCCACATGATTCTCCACGAGGCCTCCCTCAGAGTGGTCATCACCATTGTCTACAGAGAAGAGAGGAGGCCCTTCAGATTCAGTTTCCCAGGGAGATGGGGCTTGCTGAACCGTAAAGGAGGGGGACTATAACAATAAGGGAAAAGACAACAGCTAAAGAGTGACAACTATGTCCAGGGCCCATGCTCTACAACCTATCTGGATTACCCATTTCAGTCTCACAATAACTCTTTAGGTGACATGATGGGTTAGATACAAAATGTTCCCCACAGACTCGCGTGTTTGAACTCTCGGTCCCCAGGTGGTGGTACTGTTGAGAGAGCTTGTAGAGCTTGGCTGGTAGACAGGAGTTGCTGAGGATGCAACTTGGAGGGTTATGGTCCACCCTGCTTTTGGCACCACCCACTCGCACTGCCTCCTTCTTGAAGCCAGCCTCTAACAGGCGTGGCTTACTGTCCCCTACAGAAGTCCTCTGAGACTATCACACCAACTAATGAGTTCCTCTTCTGAGGCGGCCTCCGTGAGGCATCTGAATGCAGTGATAAATGGATGGAGGCTCCGCTGGCATGCCCTATCCTTCACACACAAGCTGGAGCTCACAGCGGCCAGGTGCTTGACCACGATCACAACCCTGGCAAGTGATGGATCCAGGAGTTGAACTCAAGTTGTGTGACTCCAACTGAGCCACACTCAGTTCTGCCCTCATCGCCCAAAGCCGGGACACAGGAGGACAGAAGGATGAAGACAGACACAAAACTCTCAACACAAAATGGAAACAGGTCATCCCTGGGTCCATCAGAACCTACCAGACCCACCCACAACAACCAAGTTCTCCTTCATTTATGGTCTGATCAGGGCAGACCAACTGAGGTTTTAAAAATTACCACCATAATTACTCCCTGTCCCATGGCATGGTTGGCAAGGGAGTACAAGGAAGACAGTCACCTGCCAGTGAGAACCAGGCTCCAACACTCCCATCCCTCTTCATTTGCTCATCCCTCCTGATGAAAAGTTCCCAAGTCTTTTGCTCCTAGGCTACTAGAGTACTAATCCCACTGACTTTTTATTTGTGCAATACACCTACCTGTGTATTGCACCCCATCACACTGAGAAGCCCCAGTGCAAGAACTATGTATGATAGGTTTGACTTTGTAGATTTAGCTTCCAACAAGGCATAAACCCTAACCTAGATGTTTGCTATAGAACAACTGTTCAGTCTCTTCTGACTGTCTCCCAACCTCCTGCATGCAGGGGACTCTAGGAGCAGCCCCCAGATTTCAGTCTCAGCCTGGCTGACTCATGTCTTTCCAGGGAAGAATGGCAGCATGGGAATTGTGGTGGGGTCAGGTCTGCAGCCAGCGAGATACATTGTCAGTCCAGCCACAGCCCACAGGTCCCTTCATGCACTGGGAACCCTTGCATTCTTAGGTGGATGCAGAAGTAGAAGGCTGGAGAGCCGAAGAAAAGCTTAAAGAAATCTGAAATGAGCCAAACCTTGGGAAACAAACAGGAGGCCTCTGATGCTGAGAGTTCTCCACCAGCTCTTTAAAATTAACCTTGGAAACATCTTGCACTGTTCTGGTCAGTCCTTACCCCAAGGGCCAGGATTTTCCCAGCCCACTGCAAGGTAGATCTAGCTCCCCTGCAATAGCTAACTCCCCTCTACCCTGCTTCTACCCACAGCCACACTAGTCCACAGCTCCCTGGAACAGGTCACAGGATCTTCCCAGGGCATCCAGCACTCAGCTTGCGGATCTATGATCTCCAAGCCCTCCTGGGCACTTAAACCACAGACAGTAGACGAGGAAGAATCCCTTGGCTGAGTCCTCAAGGTCAGTCCAACACTGAATACCCAGAACACCCTCTGCCAACTCTGGAGACATGTGCAAAGAGATGGACACTCTCAGATGCTAGGTACTCAGGTGTGGAGTCTACAGGCAGGGCAAACTGTCCACTAGACACAGCAGACGGTGGATGTAGAGGCCTAGAAAATGTTTTTGCTCATATTAAGGTCAGAAGAAAAAGTTTAACTTTTTAACTCAAAAAGCCTTAACAGAGAATACTGATATACTTGCATTTATAAGGCCAGATGTTATCATCTTAAAATGCTTTTTAGTGGACGGGCCCACAAAGGTGAAAAGGCCTCATGCAGCATCCTAATGTGATCCTTCCTGGATCCAGACCCCAGAAGACCCCAGGGTCAGCTGGGCAGCTCTCTCCTAGGAGACTAATTGGCTTCCTGTCATGAGAGTTGCCCATCCTCCCCACCGTGAAAGTCAGTTTGTCCATCATCATGGAGGCCATCTGGATTTAACGGAAGGTCTCCCATTTTCTTCCTTTATTGATCTCACCACTACCAGCAAACATGCCAATAAGATGGGGAAACCCACAGGCATAGCTTGCTGACACAGGCTCCTTGGAAAAGTAGCAGGACATCCATTTCTTATTATGGAATAGACTGTGGGACCCAAGTAAGTCCATCATGAAGCAGGAGGCCAGGGAAGAGGAATGAAATGATGGCCAAATAGAAAGCAAAAGGACAGTGGGCTGAGAAAGGCCTTGTGCCCTGTTACTATCCCGGGCCAAAGGTGTTCAAGGGTTCAAGACCAAAGTCTGATTTTCCACTCAGCTTTGAAGCCCTGAACAAATTACTTAAGCTCTCTGTGACTCCACCAATCGTCTGTAAAAAGAAAGCAAATGGCTTCCAGTTTCTGGATCTTGCTAGCTAGAATGATTCCCAAGAGCTTTTCATGTTGTGAATTAAATGAAGCATGATGGGAGCTTCTAGGTGAGCTCATAGATGCTAATTCTCCACATTGGTCCCCACCTCCCCTGAACAAGCATCTCCATCCCCCCATACATTTTCTTATAGGCTACAGAAGTGACCCACAGGAAAACATTCCAAATAGGGAATTTCAGCTACAGGTGGAATGCTGTCTAAGAACACAAATACAAAGTTGCATTCTTTTCTGCCTAAGAGAGTTAGAACCACAAAATAACATTGAGCAACCACTTATAAGTGCAGCTGAGCAGGCTATGTACAGAGGAAACATTTCTTAATCGCCCCCAAGATCTAGATGGAAAAGGCTTCAGCCTTCGAGATAATCAGTAGGGACCTGCAAGGCCCCTGAGGGACCCTGAAATGTCCCCCTACTAGCTGGTAAGCATTGGCCTTCTCCCCAACACAGCAACTGAGGAAACGGATCAACATGGAAGCATGGAATGTCACAATTATATTAGTACACAAAAAGTAAGGCTTCTCCAAAAAGAAGATAAGTAGGCAATTAAATAAATGAAGTCAGAGCCCCAAATGGAGGGTCTGTAGCGCATGGGAAACTCCCTTTCTCTGACCTTCAACAGGTGCTGGCCTTCCAGAACCAGAGCATCCCACTTTAGACATGTATACGTGAAACAGGCAGCTGAGATGAGAGGGAACAGATGGCTTACCGTATTTTAGAGTTGGTGAACCTGAGGCCCAGGTCCATCTGGGTCTACAGAAGCAAACACACTCTGCCATCATCAGGAGCGTCACAACTGGCATGGGGCCCCATGAGTCCTTTGACCCACCCTTACCAACCTGGCCAGGGAGTCCAGCTGGAGGCTGACACCTGAAAAGAGCTACATGTCCACTTCATGCATCCATAATGGTTTTAAGACTTGATTTAGGTATGTCCCTCTCTCTCTAAGGCAATCCTATTTAACTATAGAATCACAGACCTTACTCAATGAATCAAAATCTCCATGTTTCATAGAGGCTGCTTTCTTCCAGTTCCAGGTTCTGGTCCCACTGCTAAACTTGAAAGTCCATGGTTCATGATTTGTAGAAAATTCTCAAGTGTTCTTAGCAAAACAAACTCCAAGAAGCTAAAAGCAATTCCTCCAAAGTCCTTGTTCTGAGTACTTGACCCTGGCCCTTGATTAGGCATAGTCATAAAATGAGCCCTGCCCTTACCTCCAAGCCATCACCGTCCTCCTAGCCTTTCCCTTTCTTGCCTTGTATTTATTCTAAACTATTTCCCAGCCCTCTATCTCATGATGATCTCAAACTCTGAAAGCTCAGGCACCAATGAGGTGAAGAGTCACAGTTTCAACAGGTGCTGGCCTTCCAGACCCAATTCCAGAAGTGCTTCTGAACACCAGAGCCCAAGTATTGAGTCCTGGCTGCTTTCCTCGTTCTTCCCTGGCTAGACACAGAAATCGCATGGCCCCTTTAGTGTCAATCTCTCCAAAAATGCACTTAGCCTGGATACACACTGGCCCGCTTCCTCCTCTTCCTCCTCAGACAACCTCTCTACTAATACCCATGGCAACAGATGATTCACTATCAAACTCCAATGGGCAAAGCACCCCAAGAACCAGCCAATTGAGTTCCAGACTCACGAGGCATCATTCTTCCACTGTTCTTGCCAAACCCTTTAACTTTTCTGATCTTGCTACTCTTCAGTCAGGGCAGTGGGAATAATGGTTACTATCTAACCATGATACCATTTTATTACTCTCCTCATCCAAACTTTCATTTTGGGAAAAGTCAAGCTTTATACAACATGGATGGATGATCTGTTTCTTGAATGTGTAAATGCAAGGCTATCCGCCATATGTGGGGGAGGGAGGGAGTAGCTTATATCTAATAACAGAATAATCAAACACATGGGAAAAAATCAATTAGAAGTCAGCTCCCAATATTTTATGCTATGATGTTTCTCCTTTTTGATTTTTAAGATTTTGTTATGTATTTCATTTTCTATACATGGATTTTTTTTGCCTTCATGTATGTTAATAGACCATGTGCATGCAATATCTTCAGATGGCCCTGGATCTTGAGTTACAGACTGTTGTGAGCCATCATGTGGGTGCTTGGTATCAAACCTGGGTCCTCTGTGAGAGCAGCAAATGCTCTTAACCAATAGGCCAGCTCTCTAGCCCCCTCAGTTTGATGGGGGAGGGGTGTTGTTTACATTCTATGTTTTGTTTTTCAGTTTTCAGTTTTTGTAGTTCTGGGGATGAGCACACACTACAGAAGGTAAGAGATACAGAAGAGAGAAAGA